CCAGGGCCTTGGGCTTCCCATGGGATGGGGCTTGAGGAAGTAACAAGTAGACCCAGATGTAGGATACATCCTGGCTTTCTGTTACCTCCTTGCCCTCCTAGATAGGCACTAGAACACCTTGGATTTCACCGGGTTCTGAGCCTGCCCCATTGGAGAAGGTCGCCATGCTAGAGCAAGTGAGGTGGACAGACTGGGGCCAGGCCAGTCTGGAGTGACTGGGAGTGAGGAGTGTGGAGGCACCCTGTGGGCTAGAACCAGGGGACTCTGGCCTCTCCTCTCAACACTTTGCGGAGTGTTAATGTAGAAACCTAAGAATCATGCAGGGAGAAAGAGCCTTTTGTAAACAGGAGTAGCGCTAACTTACAATTACTGTCCCTGACAGGTTTCCACTGGGTTTCGGCGTACTGAGTTTTGCCACCAGGAAGCATAGAGAAGCGACGAGCCGAGGTTTGCATCCCGTCCACCCTTCTCCTTTGCTCTTGGCTTCTGGGTTTTCTAGACCGTGTCTCCGTGTCTGCTTATCCCACAGGGCTTACCCTTCTCTGAGCGGGGTATTCCAGGTGCAGACGTATGTGGCAGAACAGTTAGGCTGGAAGACCCGAACCCTGGGCAGGCTCTGAGGCTCTTCTCCTTCACCCAGGCAGCACGGCTCTCGCCTGCTTTTGTTTGCCACCATGTCCTGTACTTTCTTGTACTACTAACCCTATAGCTGTGATCCATTCTACACTTTGCCTCCCCCAATCAATTTGGGGTCCCTGAAGCGGGACATTGTTTCATTATCTTTCTTGTACCTGGTGCTGAGCACAGGGTCTGACCCATGGTAGGTGACAGGTACATAGTTTCCTCTTTCTTATATTAGGATGGGCATAGCAGAGTACCCTGGGAAACTTGGCCAGGGCCAGAGGAAGCAACGCCAAGGAGGCTGGTCTGGGCACAGGCAAGAATTCAGAGGGCTCGGGAGAGCAACTCAGGGAGGCAGGAAACATTTCTTCCACTTTCTTATAATTTGAGATACATATGTAAATATGCATATACAGAGGGTGTCAAAAATGTATATACATTTTAAGAAAGGAAAAAACTATAGTACAGTAAAACTTTGGGTTGCGAGTAACTTGGTTTGTGAGTAGTCTGCAAGATGAGCAAACATTTCTAATGCAGTTTTTTTTAAAAGACTTTATTGGGGAATTGGGGGAGGAGAACAGTCAGGTTGTTCTTCCATCTTTGCCATTTGGCTTCTGGTCGGCAGCTTGTGGCCTCTAAGCTCAAGGTGCTGTGTTCCATTAGTTGTGGATGGGTGTAGCCACCATCCCATGCAGGAGTCGAACCCGGCAACCTTGTTGTTAAGAGTGCACACCCTACCCACTGAGCCATCCGGGCGGCAGCTCAGTTCAAGGTGCTGAGTTCAGTCTTAGTTGCGGGTGGGCATAACCTACCATCGAACAGCAATCTTATTACATTAGCTGAGACATCCTGCCACCTGTTGGCAGCTCAGCAACAGCTCAGCTCAGGCGCAGTGTCACTGGCCCATGTAGGAATCGAAACAGCGGCCCTGTTGCTCAGAGTGTGAGCTCTTAAGCCAACTCTTAACCAACTGAGCCACTTGGCTGGCTCCTCTAATACATTTTAACGTGATAAATGAGCAATGTCTTGCAATACTAGTAGTTTGTTTCCAGAACGAATTATGTTTGCAAACCAAGGTATTACTGTAATTGTAATACACAATATATACTAATAACAAAAGATGAATACAAGTCAT